ATATATATATATATGTGTGTGTGTGTGTGTGTGTGTGTGTATCTGACTATCTGTGTGTAAGATAGAGAAAGAAAAGAGGGATTATTTTACCTCACTCAATAATTCTTGTTCAACATCAAATTTCAATTATGCAACCATTAATAAAACAAAATATTAAATAATTTTTAAATTTGTTAAAAATTTACAAATTTGATCTATCCATTAAAATTTTTAATTTTATTATTGAATTGTTAAAATTTGATATAAAATATGAATTATTGAATGAATTATTGATCTACCTAAACTTACATCGTTCAATAACTCATGTTCTACATCAAATTTTAACGATTCAACTGTTGAATTTAAAGTTCTTAATGCATAAATCAAATATGAAATTCTTTAAATTTTTTTAAATCATTTAATACTTCGTTTTATTAATTCAAATTGACAAATAATTATAAAATTCAAATCAAATCAAACCAACCTTGCGATTTGAATTGGTTTAGTTCAATTTTTACGATTTTAAAATTTATTATTTAAAAATATAAAATATTTTATTATTTATTTAAGACATTACATAAAAAAGTAAAATTACAAGTATACAAATACTAAAATATTTTGATCATTTAATGTATTTAATACTATTTTTTATCTTATTATTTAAGTGAAAATATTTCTTTATTAGTACAATTTTTATTATCATATTAAATATTTTTTTCATATATATAGTTTGTCACTTTAAAAAATTATTTTTGAACTTTATAAATAAATCATAAAATTTCATTCTAAAATTCAGTTCAGTAACTTATAATTTTATAAAATATCTTTTAAATACTATACCATATATTTGGAGAGAGAAACACCTTTCAGTAACTTATAATGTTATAAAAAAAATATTATGTATACATGCACTATGAGTTTAAAAATAATATTTATAAATAAGTGTGATTTAGTTTGATTCGCAACGGTTTCTGTGACACCCTCTACCCCAACATAATTACAATAGATATAAACCATCTATATATAAATTCTTTCTTAGTCTAATATAAAATAATTATCTCAAGTATCATTGGGTAAAAGATGCACATTCATAATTTTCAACTGTAAGTATCAAATTGTCAAGAAATAATAAAATAAAGATTATAGATTAATCCCAGTAAAGGTGGCAGAGCCTCCTAGTTAGGAATTAACTTATAATCTTTTAGTAAAATTATAATATGACAAAAATACACACTTTCAACATAAATAACATAAAAATTACAAAAGAAAAAT